CGCACCTTGCCACCTCCTCCTTCTCCCTTTAAAAGAGAGGGAACTAGGGTTTTGTTACATTTGGGGATGGGCTGCTCAATATTGGGCTGGCCTTATGACTTTGTTTTTGTAAATTTCATCCTCAGCTTTTTAATTTTTTCAATTGAGTCCTTTTCTTGTTTTTTTTCTTCAACTTCTCCCCCAAATTTTTCATAAAATTTTTTTATAACGATAAATCCGAAACGGTACGCGAAAAATTCCGGTATCCGGTACGTACCGTTCCAGTAACAAAACCGGTACGCATGCCGGTACAGTATTGACTACTTTGGTTGTGATGCCATTCAATCTGAAGAATGCTGAATCTACCTATCAAAGAGCCATGAATGCAATTTTTAATGATATGATTGGTAAGTTCATGGAAATCTATATTGATGATGTTGTGGTGAAGTCACATGGAGAAGAAAACCACCTAGTCCATTTGAGGAAGGCTTTTGAGCGGATGAGGCAACATGGCTTGAAAATGAACCCACTAAAGTGTGCCTTTGGAGTGTCTACAGGTAACTTCCTTGGGTACTTGGTGCATGAGCGTGGTTTGGAGGTTGACAAGAACAAAGCCAGCATTGTGATTGAGGCAAAACCACCACAGAATAAAAAGGAGTTGCAAAGATTTCTTGGCCAAGTTAATTTCTTAAGACGTTTCATTTCTAACTTGGCTGGGAAAACCAGAGTCTTTTCTCCTCTGTTGAATCTCAAGTCTGAGGCGAATTTTAAGTGGGAAGAACATCATCAGTCTGCCTTTGATATGATAAAACGGTATTTATCTAGACCACCAGTACTTGTGCCGCCTGTGAAAAATAAACCTTTAATTTTGTATATATCCGTCGCAAACAAGTCCATAGGATATCTGCTGGCGTAGGAAAATGATAAAAAACAGGAGCAGGCTGTGTATTACTTGAGTCGATGTTTGACCCAAACCGAAGTGAAATATTCTTCGGTCGAAAAGTTGTGTCTTGCTCTCCTTTTTATTCCAATAAAATTAAGACATTATTTGATTTATTCTGAGATCTATGTGGTTGCTAAGACTGATATTGTCAAATATATGTTGTCTCGCCTTTTGTTGAGAGGCCGAATAGGTAAATGAATTCTGACTTTATCTGAATTTAATTTGAAGTATATACCACAGAAAGCTGTCAAAAGGCAAGCACTAGCAAACTTTCTTGCAGATCATCCATGTCCAGAAGTAGAAGCAAATAAAGAAAAAGGAATTAACTTGTTTTCAATAAATTTAGTTCCTTGGAAACTTATTTTTGATGGATCTAGTACAGAAACCATGTCTGGAGCTGGAGTCGTGGTTATCTCCCCATCTGGGCTAAAAACACAGATGTCTTTCCAGTTGGATTTCGATTGCACAAATAATCAAATAGAATATGAGGCTCTGATTATTGGTCTTGAGATGTTGGTGGAGCTTAAAGTATCCATGGTTGAGGTTATAAGGGACTTACAACTAATCTTGAAGCAATTGTCTGGTGAGTACAAATGTACTAGCGTTGCTTTAGCCCCTTATTTTGCCTTGGCTGTGCAATTACTAGAGGAGTTTGATGATGTGTCCATCAAACACGTGCCTAGAGACCAAAACTATGAAGCTAATGAAATGGCCCAAATTGCTTCAGGTCTGCGAATTCCTGAAGGTGTAATGCAGAAAGTTGTAATAATTGAAAAGCGTAGTCTACCATTAATTCATCAACGTGGCATAACAGTTTCTACTTGCAGCATTGATGTCACCCAGATAGACTGGCGCTTTCTAATTATTCAATACCTTAAGGATTAGAGCACTAAGGTATCTAGGAAAACCAAAATGCAAGCTCTCAATTATGTCTTAATTGAGGATGTGCTTTATAGGAGAGGTCATGATGAACTACTGCTGCGTTGTCTGGGTCCATATGAAAGTTTCCAGATGTTGTCTGAAGTCCATAATGGGATTTGTGGTGCACACCAGGCTGGGATCAAGATGCGCTGGCTAATTCGCAGACATGGTTTCTTTTGGCCATTTGTCTTGAAAGACTGTATTGCTTATGCTAAGGGCTGTAAATCTTGTCAGATCCATGGGCCACTTCAAAGAGTTCCAACCTGTGAACTTAATTCTATTGTGAAACTGTGGCCATTCCGAGGTTGGGCTATTGACTTGATTGGTAAGATGTACCCCCTTCATCAAAAGGTCATTCATTTATTATAGTGGCAACAGATTATTTTACCAAATTGGTGGAGGCTAAACCAATGAAGAAGGTAAATCAATCTGATGTAATCAAGTTCATCAAAGAGGACATTATTCACAGATTTGGTCTGCTAGAAACAATTACAACAGACCAAGGCACAGTTTTTATCAACCATCAAGTGGAGGCATTTGCAAAGGAAATGGGTTTCCATCTGTTAAATTCTACTCATTATGCACAAGCTAATGGGCAAGTGGAGGTTTCTAATAAGGTGGTGATTAATTTGCTTGAAAAAATGGTGAATGACAACCCCAGACGTTGGCATGAACTATTGTCTGAAACACTGTGGGCTTATAGAACTTCACATAGAAGTTCAACCAAAATGACACATTTTGCCTTAACATATGGCCATGACGCAATCTTGCCAATGGAGTTAATAGCCAGGTCTTTAAGAGTAGCGATGCAACATAATCTCCAGTCTGAGGAATATGATGAGGCCATGATGCTTGAGCTTGAGAACCTTGAAGACACACGTTTGACAGCTTTGGATAGATTGCAAGTTTAAAAGCTCAAAATTGCAAAGTCTTACGACAAGAGAGTAAAAGGTAAAAATCTGGCAGTTGGTGACTTGGTCTGGAAAGCAATTTTACCTCTTGGTAAGAAAGATCACAGATTTAGGAAATGGTCCCCAAATTGGGAAGGACCATTCCAAATTCATGAAGTGTTGAGAGAGGGAGCTTATTGGTTAGAGTCACTTGATGGAGATCTTCATGCCAAAAAAATTAATGAAATTTATCTCAAGCCTTATTATCCCACAGTCTGGGAGGTAAAAGGTTTAGGGCCTGTTTGGTACAGCGGTTAAAATTCAGCGGATAGCGAAGAATGGTAGCAGATAACAGGTGGCGATTAGCAGATAGTGGATGGCGGATAGCGGAAGTAGATAGCGGATGGTAAATAGCGGATTCGATAAATATAACTGTTTGGCTATACAATAGTTAGCGGCTGTTGTTCAACATTAAATGACTAATAATAACATGTTTAAAAATAAATAAGTGTATTTTTTAAAATATTTTTATTTTT